GGTATGAACTGGAAGACCATGGCGCCGGGTTTTGATTTTGTAATGGGCCGTCAGCCAGATACCAATTATATCAACAAATTTGCCAACAAAGGTTTCTTTACACACAATCCATTGCTGAACAACCTGAACCGGCAGGATTATAACCAGAGCCTGAAAATTAATGCGCAGCTGATACCGCTGCGTGATCTTACCATTGATCTGAACGTAGACAAAACCTTTGGCAAAACCTATTCTGAATTATACAAAGACACTACCGGCAGTTCCGGGTTCAGCAGGCTGAGCCCCTACTCTTCCGGAAGTTTCAGCGTAAGCTATATTTCATTCCAGACATTGTTTACCAAAGTAAGCCCTAATGAAGTCTCCAGCACTTTCCTGAAATTCCAGGATTACCGTTCTATATTATCGCAGCGGCTGGCCAAACTGAATCCTTATTCAAAAGATCCCAGCGGCAATCCCATACCAACTGCCGATGGCTACTATAGAGGCTATACCAAATACGCGCAGGATGTATTGATACCGGCTTTCCTGGCAGCTTATACCGGAAAAGATCCCAATACGGTAGCGCTGGTAAAACAGGAGAACGCTAAAATCAGTTCCAACCCATTCAGTGGCATTAAACCGTTGCCCAACTGGCGTATTACTTATAACGGACTCACCAGGATTCCGGGTATGGAAAAAATATTCAGCAATTTCACCGTAACACATGCTTACAACAGTACGCTGAGCATGAACAGCTTTAATTCTGCACTGCTGTACCAGGACCCGTTAAGACAAAGCTATCCGGGCTTTATAGACACCCTCACCGGTAACTTTATTCCTTATTTCCTGGTGCCCAATATTTCTATCCAGGAGTCTTTTGCACCGTTTATAGATTTGGACATGCAGTTTACCAACCAGCTGGGCGCCCGTTTCGAATATAAGAAATCGCGGCAGTTGGCATTGAGCCTGGTAGATTTCCAGCTGAGTGAATCACGCTCCACAGAGTTTACATTTGGCGGCCGCTGGAGAAAGAAAGGTTTCCCCCTGCCGTTTAAATTGCCATTCAGCAAGAAAGACACCAAAAAACTGGAAAACGATATCACGTTTACACTTGACTTCAGCCTGCGCGATGATATTACTTCCAACAGCCGGCTTGACCAGGTAACGGTATTGCCCACTGCCGGACAAAAAGTAATCACCATCTCTCCCAGTATAGACTATGTGCTGAACAACCGTGTAAAAATCATCCTGTATTTTGATCAGCGAAGAACAGAACCCAAAATTTCTACCTCGGCGCCTATTACCAATACAAAGGGTGGTATAAAGATTAATATCTCGCTGGCGCAGTAGGAAATTTTTTAGCTGGTACCTATGAGTGGCTGGTAGCCAACAGCTAAAAAAATTACGCTACATTAGGGGTATGAGAAAAATCTGCACGTCGGCACTGGCTGTTATTTTTTTGTCTTCCTGCCATCAATCTCCTTCTTATGATACCATCATCCGCAACGGACTTATTTATGACGGAAATGGTGGCGAACCCTACAAGGCAGATATTGGCATCAATGCAGATACCATTGCATTTATTGGTAATCTGCAGCCTGCAAAAGCAAAAAATGAAACGGATGCGCATGGAATGGCCGTAGCCCCCGGCTTTATTAATATGCTGAGCTGGGCCAACGAGACACTGATAGAGGACGGTCATTCGCAGAGTGATATCCGCCAGGGCATTACCCTGGAAGTATTTGGGGAAGGAGAAAGTATGGGGCCGCTCAATAACCGGATGAAAGATCAGCTGCAAAAAGGACAAGGCGATATAAAATACAAGGTAAGCTGGACCAGCCTGGGCGAATACTTACATTTCCTGGAAACAAAGGGCGTTAGCTGCAATGTTGCTTCTTATGTGGGTGCTACCACTATCCGCAATTATGTAATTGGAGAAGACGATAAAGCTCCCACACCTGCTCAGCTGGACAGCATGTGCTTACTCGTTAGACAGGCTATGGAAGAAGGCGCACTGGGAGTAGGCTCATCCCTTATTTATCCGCCGGCTTTTTTTGCCAAAACAGACGAGCTGATAGCCATGAGTTCAGCAGCCGGCCAATACGGCGGCGGCTATATTTCGCACATGCGCAGCGAAGGTAATCAACTCTTGGAAGCGGTAGAAGAACTGATTATTATTGCGCAAAAAGCAAAAGTACACGGGGAGATTTATCATTTAAAAGCAGCAGGTAAGGATAACTGGTATAAAATGGACAGCGTTATCCGCCGGATTGAACGGGCCAGGAAGGACGGTGTTGATATTGGCGCCAATATGTATACTTACCTGGCGGGCGGCACTGGTCTTACGGCTTCCATGCCGCCGGCTTTGCAGGATGGTGGTTTTGGCAAACTGCGCGAACGCTTGCAGGATCCTGCTTTGCATGCGCAAATCATCAGGGATATGAAAACTTCATCCAACAAATGGGAAAATCTATACTACGCAGCCGGTTCAGCAGAAAAGCTGTTGCTGGTGGGCTTTAATAAAGACAGTTTAAAAAAATACACCGGCAAATCTTTGGCAGCCATCGCCGCCCTCAGGGGTAAATCGCCGGAAGAAACGGCCATTGATTTAATTGTGCAGGACAGCAGCCGCATCAGCACCATTTATTTTCTGATGGATGAGGAGAATATAAAAAAACAAATCGCTCTTCCATGGATGAGTTTTGGATCTGATGAAGGTTCCTATACAACGGCAGGCGTATTTCTTCAGTCAAACGCTCACCCCCGGGCGTATGGAAATTTTGCAAGAGTATTGGGCAAGTATGCAAGAGATGAAAAAGTAATCACCCTCGCCGATGCCATCCGGAAATTGAGTAAACTATCAGCCGAAAAAATGCATATCAAAAAACGTGGTGAACTAAAGAGTGGTTATTTTGCAGACATCGTTATTTTTGATCCGCAAAAAGTAAAAGACAAGGCCAGTTTTGAAAAACCGCATCAGTATGCAGAAGGTATGATGGCTGTTTTTGTAAATGGTGTACAGGTATTGAAAAACGGTGAGCACAGCGGTGCAACACCGGGCAGATTTATTAAGGGACCCGGTTGGAAAATGAATTAATAATTTGTAATTAATATAGAACAATGAGCATCGTAATTCGCAAAGCTACCAGGGACGATTGTCCAAGATTGTTAGAGTTAATCAAAGAGCTGGCGCTGTACGAGAAGGCACCGCAGGAAGTAACCGTTACATTAGATCATTTTGCAGAAAGTGGATTCGGTGCCAACCCTGTATGGTGGGCTTTTGTAGCTGAAACTGATGGTGTAGTAGAAGGCTTTGCTCTTTATTATGTACGGTATTCTACATGGAAAGGACAACGCATGTACCTCGAAGATATCATTGTAACCGAAAAAATGCGTGGCAGGGGCCTCGGCAAATTATTGTTTGACGCTTTGATTGCAGAAACAAAAGAAAAAAAATTCAGCGGTATGGTATGGCAGGTGCTGGAATGGAATGAACCCGCCATCAATTTCTATAAAAAATATTACAATGCCAGTCTTGACCCTGAGTGGATCAACTGCAGCCTGAACGTTTGAAAAACAACAAGACGATACTTTCCAGTTACGTGAACAGGATTCAATATCAGCCATTGCTAATTGATGCCGTCTACCTGCATGGTTTTGTCAATTTTCAAAACCAGGCCCTGTAATACCTTGCCGGGCCCTACCTCGGTAAACCTGGTAGCGCCTTCTTTGATCATCGCCTGCACGCTTTGTGTCCAGCGTACGGCACCGGTTAACTGGTCTATGAGGTTTTGCTTAATTTCCTCCCGGTCAAACACTGCCTTTGCTGCCACATTCTGGTATACATGTGCTGTGGGTTGGTGGAAAGTTGTTTTTTCGATGGCGGCTCTCAGTTCTTCTTTTGCCGGCTCCATCAGTGGTGAATGAAAAGCACCTCCTACCGGTAATACCAAAGCTCTTTTAGCGCCGGCTGCTTTCATACGCTCACAGGCAATCTCTATCCCTTTCAGGCTGCCGCTGATGACCAGCTGGCCCGGACAGTTAAAATTAGCAGGTACTACTACTTCCCCTGTTTCTTTCTGCACGGCGGCACATACCTCCTCCACTTTATCGTCTGCCAATGCCAGCACAGCCGCCATGGTAGAGGGTGTTAGTTCACATGCTTTCTGCATGGCTTTAGCGCGTATACTTACTAACTGGAGCCCGTCTTCAAAACTGAGTGTTCCATTGGCCACCAGTGCAGAAAATTCTCCCAAAGAATGACCGGCTACCATATCGGGCTTGGCCGCATCAATGCTTTTATAGGCTATAACAGAATGTAAAAAAACAGCAGGCTGCGTTACGTCGGTTTGTTTCAGGTCTTCTTCTGTGCCTGTAAACATAATATCAGAAATCCTGAACTTCAGCAGCTCATTGGCCTGTTCAAACAGTTTTTTTGCAAAGGCATTGTTGTTATAATGTTCTTTACCCATTCCCGGAAACTGTGAACCCTGGCCGGGAAATACAAAAGCATGTTTCATATCATCAGATTGATGTCCAAATATAAAAGGTTTATCTGAAGCAAATAAAAATTTCAGATAAACCTTTTCCTTATAGACAGTATTTCCGTCAGTGCAGTTTCGACCCTATCAGCCGTATAAACTCGCTCCTGGTTTCATTTTTCTGAAACTCACCGCAAAACGCGGATGTTGTAGTAACAGAATTTTGTTTCTGCACACCACGCATCATCATACATAAATGTGATGCTTCCACCACCACGGCTACACCGTGAGGATTAAGTGTGTCCTTTATCACCTCCATAATCTGGTGTGTAAGTCTTTCCTGTACCTGCAGTCGCCGGGAGTAGACATCTACTACCCTCGCGATTTTGCTGAGCCCGGTAATGTATCCATTGGGAATATATGCCACATGTGCTTTTCCATAAAACGGCAGCATATGATGTTCGCACATACTGTACAGTTCTATGTCTTTTACAATCACCATTTCACTTATATCTTCATGAAATTTAGCCGACTCCAGTATGGCTTTGGCATCCATCTGGTAGCCCTGTGTAAGAAACTGCATGGCTTTGGCCACCCTCTCCGGTGTTTTCTGCAGACCTTCCCTTTCGGCGTCCTCGCCCAGTAATGTAATGGTATTCTTATAATTTTCCGATAATAGCCTGGTCACATTTTCATCATACTGATCTGTTTTTTTATACGGCATCTCAACTATTTTAATGATAAAAGTATTGGTTCAAAAACGGGTTTAAAAGTATGGTCAAGCCGGGTATTCCACAAAATTCCGCTCAGTTTCATATAGTCTTACCTGCAAATCAACAGCGCTATCAATATGAGGACGTAAGAGGTTATAAATCACAATAGCAATATTTTCTGCCGTAGGGTTCAGCTCCCGAAACTCTTCTGTATCCAGGTTAAGGTTTTTATGATCAAATTTCAGCAATACGTTTTCCTGTATCAGGTCGCTCAGCAGTTTCAGATCCATTACAAACCCGGTTACCGGATCCGGTTCCCCGGTTAGTTTTACTACCAGGTCGTAGTTGTGTCCATGGTAATTGGGCAGGTTGCACTTCCCAAAAACAAGCCTGTTCTTGTCTGCATCCCAGTCAGGGTTATTTAAACGGTGTGCGGCATTAAAATGCTCTTTCCTGTATACGGCTACTTTGTTACCCATACCTGCATTGCTAAATAAAAAAATGTAAATAATTCCAACAGCCCGGGCAGAAGTATGCTGCTCAAATGACTGTTTTGAATAAGAATACCACCCCTGCTTTACCAAAACATTACACAGATTTTATCTTGTCAAAACCAGCTGTAATGCCTGCCAATCCCCCTGAAATTACATACTAATAACAGAAAGGTTCACCTAAGGGTGGGTTTTTATGAAAAATGTGGGTTACCCGAAATACTCTACATAAATGCGGTCGGTCTCATACAATTTAATGCAATGAAGGGTAACTGCCGGCGGAAGTTCCGGCACCAGCTGGTTCCAGATTCCAATGGCCAGGTTCTCAGTAGAACACATTTTACCATGCATAAAAGCAACATCCAGGTTCAGGTTTTTGTGGTCCAGTAATTCCAGCACATGGTCTTTAATGATAATACTCAGTTTTTTTACGTCGAACAAAAAACCAGTATTGGCATCAGGTTCACCTTTAATGGTTACATATAGTTCATAGTTATGCCCATGCCAGTTCTCGTTGGCGCATTTGCCAAAAACAGCTTCATTTTCCGCTACTGTCCATTCCGGGTTAAATAATTTATGCGCTGCATTAAAATGCTCCACTCTTGTGAGGTACACCATCGCCGGTAAAAATTTCCGCAAAGTTAGCATTTTGGAAGTTAACCACAGAGACAGTACCAGCAAAGTTGCAGCGGGTTGACAACTTATGCCTAAAATGATGGTTCTTAAGGTGAAAAACCGTGGTATGCCACAATACCCGACATTTGCAGCTTACAAAACAGGCAACTGTATGAATACATTACTGATAGCGGCTACCATTAAAGAAATACAACCTTTCCTTGCCTGGTTAAAAACAGCACCTGCAGGCAGGAAAAGCAATTTACCCGATGTATTAATTACGGGCATTGGTTTAACGGCTACCACCTACCATCTTACCCGGCAACTGCAGTTGAAAAAATATGGGTTGGTAATACAGGCGGGCGTAGCAGGTTGTTTTAAGAAAAACATTTCGCTTGGCAGCGTTGTTATAGTAAAACAGGATACTATAGCAGACCAGAGTGTAATTGAATTGCAGCAGCTGAAATCTTTATTTGATCTGAAACTGGTGCCGGCCAACCAGTTTCCGTATACAAAAACCTGGCTGGTAAATCCGGCTGTGGCCCTCTTAAAAAAGACAGCACTGAGAAAAGTAAAAGGAATATCTGTGAATGAAATTACCACCAGCAGACAAAAGATAACCTTTTATGAAAAAAAATTCAACGCAGTTACTGAATCGATGGAAGGAGCCGCACTGCATTACACCTGCCTGATGGAAGGTGTTCCTTTTCTGCAAATCAGAAGCATGTCTAATTATATTGGCGAAAGAAACAAAAAGAAATGGGATATGGCAGACTCTATTGTGAACCTGAATGCCGCATTGATTGAAATAGCAAAAGACTTATGAAACTTACTTTAGGATTTTCACCCTGCCCCAACGATACTTTTATCTTTGATGCACTGGTCAATAAAAAAATTGATACGGGCGATCTATCTTTTGAAGCCGTACTGGAAGACGTACAAACCCTTAACAACGGGGCCATCGCAGGTAAACTGGACGCCAGCAAAATCAGTTACGGCGTTTTGCCGTTGGTGGCGCAGCAATACAGGGTATTGAATGCGGGTGGTGCTTTGGGCAAGGGCGTTGGCCCGCTGCTGATTTCTAAACAGGCTATCCCATCTTCCGAAAGCATCAATGATAAAACCATCGCCATACCCGGCGAAAACACAACGGCGCATATGCTGTTTTCCCTGGCTTATCCAAAAGCAAAACATAAAAAATTCATGGTCTTTTCTGCTATAGAAGAAGCAGTGATCAGTGGGCAGGTTGACCTGGGTGTAATTATACATGAGAACAGGTTTACCTACCAGCAAAAAGGGCTTACAAAAATTATAGACCTGGGCAGCTACTGGGAGCAGCAAACGCAATACCCTATTCCGCTGGGTGGTATTGTTATGAAAAGAAGTTTTAATACTGCCCTGCAAAAGAAAGTGGATGCGCTTATCCGGCAAAGTGTGGAGTATTCATTCAAAAATTACCCTGTACTGGCTGACTATGTGAGACAGCATTCGCAGGAAATGTCAGCGCAGGTAATGCAGCAGCACATTGATTTATATGTAAATAACTACAGCATTGATTTAGGTGCCGCGGGCAAAAAAGCGGTGGAAAAATTACTGGCAGTATACCAGCAGGTCAATCATACCGCCAGAAGTAAAATTTCAAATGCAGATCTTTTTGTTGAATAGACTGCCTTATTTTTTCAATGCAGCGCTGTAAGTTTCCAGGCAGCGTTTTCGGGCGAAATCATGATCTACAATGGGCGATGGGTAGGTAAGCTCATCCAGCTCCGGCACCCATTTACGGACGTATTTTAATTGCTTGTCGAAATTCTCTGTCTGGCGGGCCGGACTAAAAATACGGAAATAAGGTGCAGCATCGCAACCGCTGCCGGCGGCCCATTGCCAGCCGCCATTGTTGGCAGCAAAATCATAGTCCAGCAGTTTCTGCGCAAAATAGGCTTCGCCCCAGCGCCAGTCAATCAGCAGGTGCTTGGCCAGGAAGGAAGCAGTAATCATTCTTACGCGGTTGTGCATGAAACCCGTTTCATTTAGCTCGCGCATGCCTGCATCAACAATCGGGTAGCCCGTCATACCCCTGCACCAGCAATCAAATTCTTTTTCATTATTCCGCCATTGAATCAAATCATACTCCGGCTTAAACGCTTTGCCTTTTCCCACCTGCTGAAAATGCCAGAGTATCATGTGATAGAAATCGCGCCAGATGAGTTCATTCAAAAAAGTTTCGTTCAATCCCTTTGCACTGTCAGCCAGTTTGCGGATGCTGATGGTACCAAAACGAAGGTGAATACCCAAATGTGAAGTACCGTGCACAGCGGGATAATCGCGCTGCTCTTTATATTTTTTTACCAGCTCTGTATTCAATTGTTTTGAAGGAAAGGTTTTCTCTACCGGCACAAAGCCCATGCTTTTGAGCGATGGCATGGCTACAGGCTTTTGTTTTAAAAAATTACCCATGTATTTTTTTACCGGATAGGCTTTAAGGTAAAAATCAGTGAGGGCTGCATTCCAGCGGCGGCTGTAGGGGGTAAATACCGTGTAAGGCTTGCCGTCATCTTTTACCACTTCGTCTTTTTCAAAAATAACCTGGTCTTTGTAGCTGTGCAGGGAAGCGCCGTGTGCAGCCAGCAATTGCTGGATGGCGTTATCGCGTTGTATGGCATAGGGCTCATAGTCGCCATTGGTAAACACCTTTTCTATTTTGTATTTTTTCAGCAACTGTTTATATACATCGGCAGGGAAACCGTAATATACTTCAAGACTGCTGCCTGAAGCCGTTAACTGTTCCTGTATTTCCTCCAATGCCGCATGAATGAATTCCACCCTGCGATCGGCTTTTTCCTCCAGCTCATCCAGTATGTACTTATCAAAAATGAAAACAGGAACTACGGGCTGATTGTCTTTCAGTGCATGGTAGAGGGCAGCATTATCGTCTAAGCGGAGATCTCGCCTGAACCAGCAAATATTAACTGTCTGCATTTGTTTGAGGTGTTTTAAACGATCTGGTGTTCCTAACAGCAAAGCCATTTGAAAGTTGAAGGTATGGCTGCTATTTTTTTAACAGGCGGGCAAAGATTTGGGTGGTAAGGCGATTGGCATACACACTGGGACCACATTCTTTTACCCAGCGGACTCCCCTAACAGCATTGCTGACAAACACCTCATCTGCCGCCAGCAGGTCTTCCGGGGTGATATTGGCTTCTTCTACGCGGAAACCATGCAGCGGCAGGTTTTCTATGAGGAATCTGCGCATAACGCCTTCTACACAGCCTTCCTGGAGGGAGGGGGTATAAATGGCGTCATTCTTAATAATAAAAATATTGGCGATGGTAGCGTCGCAGATCCGTCCCCCGCTATTAAGCAGGAAGGCCTCATTCCATTGCTGTTTTTTGGCATGCAGGGCAGCCATGGTATAGGGCAGGTAATTATTGCTTTTGAGGTGGGAAAATGCGTCGATACTTTTTTTTGCAGCCGTGTAAATACCCGCTACCAGCCCGTTTTCGTTCAGCTCAAAATCGCTTCCGGGCAGTGCCCAGCTTTGGATGATGCAGTGAGGGAAATGGTTTTCCGGATCGTACAATCCCCCATTGCCCCTAAAGACATTAATACGCACCCGGGCGGTTTTGTGCCTATTTTTTTTGCAAAGGGCAGCTACCTGGTCTGCCAGCTGTGCGGGGATCAACAGGGCGGGACATTCAAATTGCAGCAGGTCCATTCCCCTGAAAAGCCTTTCCAGGTGCCAATCCTTCATCAGTATTTCGCCCCCGGAAAATTTCAGGGTTTCAAAAAGGCCGTCTCCATAACGCAGGCCACGGTTGTCTGCCGTTACCAGGGGTTGATCGTTCCTGTAAAACCGGCCATTGTACAGTAAATAGTCATTCATAACTGGCCGAAAGTAAAACAGTCCCGGCGAAATACGCCAGGACTGTTGAGTTATCTGTAAGAAGAAGTTCATGCACCCTCTTCCAGCAATTTATTTTTAACCGCGTACATTACCAGGCCGGCCATGCTTTTGGCGCCGGTTTTGGTTTTCAGCTTGTCCCTGATGGCTTCCACGGTGCGGGGGCTGATGTCCACGATATCAGCGATTTCCTTGGTGGTTTTTTCCTCGCACATCAGTTTCAGGATGCGCAGTTCTTTATCGTTCAGCTGTACATCTTCCGGTGTATGATCTACTTTCTTGGTACGGAGGCCGGAAAGCAGGGCTTTATTGGTAAGCTCATTAAAGTAAAACTCCTGTTCAAAACAGGTTTTAATGGCCTGATAGATGGTTTCGCTGTCAGAATTCTTGGTGAGGTAAGAATTGGCGCCCACTTCCATCAACTTGGAGATCATGGAGTGGTCGTTGTGCATGGACAGTATAATTACCTTGATATCCGGGTAGAGCTTCCTGATTTCGGGTAGGGTGGTAATGCCGTCCATAAGGGGCATCTGTATATCCAGCAGGATAACATCCGGCTCCACATGCTTCAGCAGGTTAAGCAGTTGCATGCCGTTATCCGCTTCGGCAATCATTTCTATGTCTTTACGCACTGCCAATGCGGTTTTTACGCCCGCGCGGAAAAGCGCATGGTCGTCGGCAATAGCAACTTTGATGGGCCTGGAGGGGTCGTAATGTTTCATAAGGTATTGTTTGGGACTTTAGGGAGGCTACTGATTTGTAAAGCCTTGATGTAAAAAGAATAAAAATTTGTCATATTTACCATAGTATAAGTACGAAATTATGATATTTCGGAATATACTAAAAAACCATTATGGCAAGTAATTTTCCGTTTTTGGGAATAGTAGAACAAACAGGGACGGTTGGTTGATTTACGACAGGTGCAGTAAATACCGAATATTTAAAATAGGGGGGATATGCGCTTGTCCACATAGTTGTCCACATGTACATTTGTATCAAGTTGATTGACGGGGATTAGCAACCTCACAAGACCATCCAATGTCCTGAAATAACCGTCCAGTAAATTTTTCCAATATCCTAAAGAATGCCAGCGAAGTCCAATGTCAATCAACTTATTTTTCCCTAATCCACTCCCTAAGAATTCTCCGGCCAGACTGGCCAAACCCAATATCCAGACCCTGACCTGTAATACGGCCTATTTGAAAAAACCAGCAGTTTTACGTGTAAAGCAGTGATGAAGACCCTGAAACTAACGATTTTTCCATTATCCCATCCTCTGAAAAACGCAGGAAACAGCATTTCCAAACAACTGTCCCGTTTTTAATGGTGTGTAAGACATTGAGTTATCCTGGAAAAACCTTATCCTTATTTCAACAGCTCTTTTAAGAAAGATACCGGCCTGCTTTTTAACAGCAATGAAACAACAAAGTAGCGAAGACAGCCGCCCTGAAAAGCGCCCTGTTTCCTTGGTTTACTTAGCCATTGCAATAAAAAAAGCAGGCTTTTTTGTGCCCCGCCGGGAAGCCATGCCCCACCCTGGTTTTGTAGCACTACCCTGAGTCCGGCTATATTTCTCTTATGCACCAATCCCTTCTGCTTATTTCCCCCAAAAAATGAGGCAGAGGGTTGCCCCCCTGCCCCTGCAATTAATGTCACCACACCTTTGAACAGCAAACTGATAGGCCTGCATCGTAAACCCTGTATTGCAAGGATTTGCGCATTAGAATAGGATAAGGCTCGATGGCTGCCGGTATTGGTAATTAAAATTAAATAAGCTGCGGAACTGACAATGGGAAAAACCTCATTAAATTGACGTTTTTTTCTCCGGGTGGAATGGAGAGAAGGGTGTATTTTACCAGAAATCATAAACATGTCCGAATTCCATTTCCCTTTATTTAGAAAACGAATTAACAAGTAATTAGCCAATAACTATTAGTGACAACCAAGTTAATCTGAAATCAATCATGCCTTTGCCTTTGTTCAAAAACAACATCGTGTACATATTGATAATAATTCTTTCTTACTTATTAACAATTATAGCATTTATAGTTGGCATTATATACCGGAAGAGACATAAAGAATTAAATCATTTATTTATATACTCATTATCATCAATTATTCAAGTTAGTATAACATATACAATTGAGTCACTGAACGCCCAAACAAACATAATAAGACAGGAAAATCTCACAGGTCCACTAATACACCTATTTATTGTAATTGAGTTTTCATGTATTTATTGTTTCTTCTTTAAGACTAAAATAGTCGGCAGTTTAGCAAAAAAAATTCTCACTGTTTTACTTATATGTTTTTTTACAACCTACTTTATGCTCTTATTAAGTATAAAAGACTTTATTAACCACGATGAAAAAATATATGTATTGGAATCCTGTTTTATTTTGATTCCTTGCTTTATATATATTTATCGATTATTTATAGTTCCTCCAACGCTGAATTTACTAAATGAGCCCTCCTTTTGGTTTAATTCAGGAATTCTAATATACCTGACATTAACCCTACCAATGTTCATAATGACTAACAACTTTAAAATTAATCCGGTGACGCATATTCTAAATATTGGTAATGCATTAGGATATGCTATTGTATTCTCCTTCCTAATTAAATCATATTTGTGCAAGCCTATAAAAGCGAAATAGTACTGTTTGTGACGGTAATTACCGCGATCTTGTTATTTCTGCTATCTTTCATAGCAGCAATCCTCTTTTTATACCAGAAAAAAAATATTCTTTATTATAAAGAGCTTGAAGATGTAAAATATAATTATGAAAAAAATCTATTACAAACCCAAATTGAAATCCAGGAACAGACATTCCAAGATATTTCAAGAGAAATACACGACAATATCGGACTGTCTCTTACCCTCGCAAAACTCCAATTAAATACGATAAACCATAAAGCATCAGAAAATACGTTCCAAAATCTTGAGTCCTCAATAGATTTAATCAGCAAAGCAATCCAAGATCTAAGTGATATTTCCAAAAGTCTTAACTCCGAAGCCATCAAAACACATGGCTTATACAATGCGCTGAAAGTGGAAACAGAAAAAATCAACCGATCTGGCAAACTGTTCGTTGAGTTTTCCGAAGAAGGAAATATTGTGTTTCTTGATTCAAATAAAGAGTTAATCTTCTACCGCATAGCTCAGGAAGCCCTTAACAATATTCTTAAACATGCCCAAGCCAGTAAGGTATGGATAAAGCTACTCTATGAAAGCCGTTGTATAAGACTTTCTATTGCAGACAATGGAAACGGTTTTGATAAACTGGCGGTAGAAAAATACCGTTCGGGCAAAATACCTACGGGTCTTAGTAATATGCGCACCCGTGCAAAAACGATTGGTGGGGAGTGCAGTATCAATAGCAATCCCGGAAAAGGCACTTTAATAAGCATATCTGCGCCCTACTAATAAAAATTATGAAAAACGATAAAAAACTGGTTAAAATAGCATTGGCAGACGACCATGTATTGCTGCGCAATGCCCTGGCCAGGCTGATTAACAGTTTCGACAACTGCGAGGTGGTGCTGGAAGTGGGCAATGGCAGTGAACTGATAAATGAACTAAAAAAGGATAATTTACCCCATGTTATTTTGCTGGACCTGAACATGCCGGGCATGGATGGCTTTGAAACAGCGGGCTGGTTGCGCGACCATCACCCTTCCATCCATATACTAATGCTGACCATGTACGATGGCGACCAGGCCCTGATACGCCTGCTCCAATATGGGGTAAAGGGATTTTTAAAAAAAGATATTCATCCTGAAGAACTCAATTTTGCCATTAACGCGGTGGTGCAGTCGGGCTTTTACTATTCCCAGCAGGTATCTGGGAAAATGGCTAATTTGTTCCGCACCAAAACTGGCAATACCATGGCATTGGAAAGCGCCCTACTGCTGCCGCAAGAACTTATTTTTTTGCAACTCGCTTCCAGCGATCTTACTTATAAAGAAATTGCCCTGAAAATGAAACTGAATCCCAGGGCAGTAGATAGTTTGCGGGATCATCTTTTTGAAAAACTGGCGGTAAAAAGCCGGGTAGGACTGGCCATGTATGCCATACGCCAGGGTATTGTAGCTTTCTAGGAAAGCGCTCGATAAATAAAAACTTACCGCAATAGCAGCTAATCGATCAGTTTATTACGCATGCCATACATGATGAGACCGGCTATGGTTTTGGCGCCTACCTTGGTTTTCATGTTCTGGCGGATGGTTTCCACCGTACGGGGACTAAGGAATACTTCTTTGGAGATTTCTTCCGTGGTTTTGTCCTCCGCCAGCAATTTCAGGATCCTTACTTCCTTCTCAGAAAATTTTACGGGATTGGGGTAGAACTGCCGCACCTGCCGCTTGGTCTGCAGTTTAGACAGCACCGCCTTGTTTACCAGCTCATTAAAATAGAAATCATCGTTCATACAGGCGAGAATAGCCTGGTATATCTCCTCCGGGTCAGTGGTCTTGGTAAGATAGGCATTGGCCCCCATTTCCATCATCTTGCTGATCATTTCCTGGTCATCGTACATGGTGAGTACTATGATTTTTACATCCTCGTATTCCTTGCGCAGCAATGGAATGGCATTAATACCATCAATCTCAGGCATACGGATATCCATCAGCAGCACGTCGGGCTTCTTTATCTGCATTTTGTGCATCAGGTCCTTACCGTCTTCGGCCTCCCATAGAATTTTCAGGTACTCCTTGTTTTTCAGGGCCATCCTGATACCATCCCTGAAAATTTTGTGATCATCTGCAATGGATACTTTGATTTGTAAATCTGTACTCATGAGGGCATTGGTTTTGTGAACGGGTTATTGGTTTTTCTAAGAAAAGCGGCGTAGCCTAAATATATAAAATAAGCCATATCTATTTGCTATTACTAATCAGTTTATAATAAGCTTAATTTCAGCCCAATGCGTAAAAACAAGATTTTACCAGTATTTTCTGCACGCCCATAAAACAGTAATTGCCCTATTGCCTCCCAACGCTTCCAGCCTTATTTTTGTAAAAGGATAGTACATATCCGTTTGTTCCCCACTATCTTGCTGTAATACAACGACAAACACCTGCAATAATTGCAGATATTCCTCCTGATTTTTGATATAGACGTATTTTTTAATGCATCCGTCTACACGCCCAAAAAATATTTTTTAACCCCGGGCAGCCAATTCACAACTGTGGATATGTTTTTTTTTGAAGTCTGGTCGATTTGCGAAACCTTTACGTAAAATTACTATTTTAAGATAGTGATATTTCGTAATTTTACGAAGTACATTTACCAGAAAAATCGGCTGAAAACCTTATCCCGCCTAACTTTCAGCAATTTATATCTTTTTGGTAAAACTACGTGCGTATTGGCCATTCTTTTTTTTTATGGGTAATTCGTATTGCATTTATGTCTCCAAACCTCCAAAAAACTGTATTTATGATGCAAACTGAACTCACCAAAAGGCCTGTCGCGCAGATAGGCGAAGCAATTACCCACGAATTGGGTGCCCGGATGATTACTGATTACCAGGCTGCTAACCCCACAGATGTTAAATCCTACCAGATCGGTCGCAACATTATCGACCAAATCTTGGCACAACCCGGTTGTGTTGGTATGCGTTTTTACAATGCTTACAACGAAAATGGTGATAAAACCATCGTTTACACTGGCGTGGACGAGTTTGGTAAATCACTAGTAAAGTACACGGTTGTGAACAATGAAGGTGATTTTGAGAGTAAAAAGGCTATTGTTGCTGATAGAGCAGGTAGTACTTCTACTACTGGCAATGACTTTTTAGAATGGTTAACTGAAGTTTTCTTTTAAAGCCGATTTTCTTGATTTATAGTGCAATGCCTTTTATATTTGAATAAATTTAGGGCAATTGCTAAGAACTCTAAGTATAAATTCTGGATTTTTACCCATAATTATTTTCCTTTTGTTTCTTAATAGAAATAGGGATGATAAATTATGGGTAATTTTCTTATACACAATAGTTTCCCTGGCTACTGATTACTCCTATAATGTTATTGGCACTTCCAAAAAAACAGAATTTTACATTTACAGTTTTTTTACTGTTATTGAATTTTCACTTGGGGCGATTTTCCTTTATTTCAATATCAACTCAAATTTATTCAAGAAAATTCTTGTTGTTTGCTCAGGGCTTTTCTTTTTAATCTCAATCTACAATCTGTTCCAACAGGAATTCGAAAATTTTGATTCTCTAACTGCTTCTGTGGAATGTATTTTAATTATCTTCTTTAGCATTTTATTTTTATACGACCAGATAAAGGAACCTGAATTGACTTTCATATCATCTTCGAAAAAGTTCTGGATAATTGTAGCCTTTTTCCTTTACCTATCCTCAACATTATTTCTTTTTATATACGCGTCAAAGCTCACAAAGCATGAAATGAGTTACTATTGGAAAATAAATTTTGTTTCTAATATATTAAAAAACGTTCTTTTTTCTATCGCATTCTTAATGAAAAACAATATTAATAACTCTTATACAAATAAAAGTTTTTTAAGAAATCAGTACAAAAACATTTAAACTAACCCCACCTAACCCTATAGTCATAAATGCTGCTATTACAAGTTAATAACTCTCCTGGTGTTACATCTGTCATGTTTTTTGGCACTATTGGAATGCTGACCCTTGCCGTAGGGCTGATTGTTTTTATCATCTTTCACCAGCGCAAGGTAATCCGCTACCAGAGTACCTTACAGCGCATGGAGCAGGACCAGCAGCGCATGCTGCTGAATGCCTCCATACGCCTGCAGGAAGAAGAACGCCAGCGCCTGGCGGCCGACCTGCACGATGATGCCGGCCCCCTGCTGGCTACCGCCCGTCTCTACCTGAACGAGAACCTGGTAAACATGGACAAAGCCAGCCAGCTGCAGAGCATTTACAACGCCAAACAGATTATAGACGATACCATCCAGCTGATCCGGAATATATCGCATAGCCTGATGCCCCCCACCCTCAAGAATTTCGGGCTGGAATCTGCCCTGAACGACCTTTTCCAGAAAATCAGCGGCTCGGGCAGCCTGAATGCCAGTTGCCGTTTTCATGATTATAAGGAAAGACTGAAAACAGAAGACGAACTAATCCTTTTCCGGGTACTGCAGGAACTGGTAAATAACATACTGAAACACAGCAATGCCAGCTTTATACACGTTACCCAGAATATCAATGGAGACAGGTTTTTCCTGCGCCTGCACCACGATGGCCGCGGACTTACCCAGGCTGATTTTGAAAAACTGAATAAAAGCCCTGTAGGACTGGGACTTAAGAATATCCAGAGCAGGCTTAAACTGTTAAGTGGAAACATATACTTTGAAAAAGACGTCTCCCAGACCTACTATAAAGTAACCATAGAATTGTCGAAGGAAGAAATTCTTTAGCAAAATGAAACTATAAAATACACGTTTAAATGGTGAAATATTGTAATTTAGTCTTTTCCAATATCACCTGAACCCCATGAGCCTGATTAAAGTAGCCATAGCAGACGATCACAAAATATTCCGAAAAGGAGTAATTCTCTCCCTTCGTCCTTACGCCAACATCAAGTTTGTAATGGAAGCCGAAAATGGACAGGAACTGATTGACAACCTGCCCGGCGAAGAAGTCCCCGAAGTGATACTGATGGATCTGCGGATGCCCCGCAAAGATGGTATAGAAGCCACCAAATACGTAGCCAAGCATTTCCCCCAAATACATGTTATCTGCCTTACCATGTTCGAAGACGAGCGCTTTGTAAGCCATATGATGGAAGTGGGTGCCAATGGTTACCTTCTTAAAAGTGCAGAACCCCAGGAAATTAAAAAAGCCATTATGGAAGTAGTATCCAAAGGCTATTACCTCAATAATTTTGTGAACAGGATCCTGTTGAAGAAATCGCATTCCAAACAAAAAGTAGCCCCCAACCTCAGCCAGGAAATTACCATCAGTGAAAGAGAAAGAGATGTTATCAAGTATATCTGTATGGAATTTACCGCCCAGGAAATTGCCCAAAAACTGGAAGTAAGCCCCCGCACGGTGGAAGCTATCAAAGACCGCTTAATGGAGCGCTTTGGATCAAAGAATACCGCAGGACTGGTATTTTTTGCAGTGAAAAATAATTTAATCGATTAAATTTTCATTTCCGGCACATTGTCCGCCGCTGCCAGCTTTCCGGCCGTCTTCTCCCTGATTTCAGCCACACTTACGCCTGGTGCCCGCTCCAGCAATACAAATCCTTCCGTGGTTATAGCCAGCACCGCCAGCTCTGTTACAATGCGTTTTACGCAATGCACGCCCGTTAGTGGTAATGTACAGGCAGGCAACAGCTTCGACTCGCCTTTTGGATTGGTATGCATCATGGCTACAATAATATTTTTTGCACTGGCTACCAGGTCCATTGCCCCGCCCATTCCCTTCACCATCTTGCCCGGAATCTTCCAATTGGCAATATCACCTGTTTCACTTACTTCCATGGCACCCAGCACCGTTAGATCTACTTTTCCGGCGCGAATCATGCCAAAGCTCTCTGCACTGTCAAAAAAAGCACCGCCAGGCAACACGGTAACCGTTTCTTTGCCCGCATTGATCAGGTCTGCGTCTATCTCTTCGTCCAGCGGATAAGGTCCCATGCCAAGCATACCATTTTCGCTTTGCAGGGTAATAGAGATGCCGGCAGGTATATAGTTCGCCACCAGTGTAGGAATACCAATCCCCAGGTTTACATACATGCCGTCTTTCAACTCCTGTGCAATGCGCCGGGCAATTCCATATTTATCCAGGGCCATATGTATAGGTTTAGTCTCAATTAATAAATAGTATTTTATTGCTGCCGTCGAAAACACCACAGCTGTCGGGAAAATATTTCTTTGGTCGCCGGCCGCTCTCCCACATACCAGAAAAAAGCAACGCCTGGCGTGGTCTCACCAACCCTAAAAGGGCTACTTTGCCAAAACAAATGTTTTCGGCCAACCAATTGTTTTTCACTTTCCGCAAAAGGGGTTGCTCATCCCAGGATTGTTTTTTTACTTTCCACGAAAGGGGATGGTCGACCCACGATTGTTTTTTTACTTTCCACGAAAGGGGTTGGTCATCCCACGATTGTTTTTTCACTTTCCACGAAAGGGGTTGGTCATCCCACGATTGTTTTTTCACTTTCCACGAAAGGGGATGGTCATCCCACGATTGTTTTTTTACTTTCCACGAAAGGGGTAGGTCATCCCGCGATTGTTTTTTCACTTTCCACGAAAATTCCAGTCCCCCATCAACTGATTTTCACTGTCCGGCGCTCAATTCTTTTCTCATACCCACTTCCCTGGAAAATGCGGTGCACATAGATACCCGGTACATGCACCTGGTCGGGGTCCAGTTCCCCGGGCGCCACCAGCTGCTCCACTTCAGCAATGGTAATATCGCCTGCCTTGGCCATAGAGGTGGAAAAATTGCGGGTAGTTTTGCGGAATACCAGGTTGCCCGCTGTATCGCCTTTCCAGGCTTTTACAATGGCAAAGGAAGCGTGCAGCGCATATTCCATCAGGTATTTTTTGCCGTTAAACTCGCGCACCTCTTTGCCGTTGGCAATCTCTGTACCGTAACCGGCGGGCGTAAAAAAAGCAGGTATGCCCATACCGGCCATCTGGATGCGTGTGGCCAATGTGCCCTGTGGTATCAAATCAACTTCCAGCTCCCCGTTCAACAGCTGCCGTTCAAATTCTGCATTTTCGCCTACATAAGAACTCATCATTTTTTTTATCTGGCGGGTTTTTAGCAGCAGGCCCAGCCCAAAATCATCTACCCCGGCATTGTTGGAAATACAGGTAAGTCCTTTAACGCCTGAGGCCATCAACGCGTTAATGGAATTCTCTGGTATTCCACACAGACCAAAGCCACCCAGCATAATGGTGGCGCCGTCCTCAATCCCTTTCAGGGCATCACTGGCGTTGGCAAATACCTTGTTCATAAATACTAAGTTGAATAAAAACTCAATTTTTTCCCGGGCGCTGCCGCATATGCCTCATTGCGCTGTCTCCCCTGCGCTTTATCACGGAATCGCGCAGGTGCCTTGCGCCAAGTATGTTCAGGTGCTTAACCGCAGAATCTTTGAGGCGGTTAATAGCAGAATCGCCGGATTGTTTTGCAGTTGAATCGGTTTTTGATTTATACAATTCAACTTTTTGCCGCCCAGCTTTGGCTATCAGTGAATCAAACATGATCTTGGTAATATCCGGGTGCGCCATGTAGAACTGGTAACTTTTCTTAAACGCCGCTTCCGAAGTGTTATTCAGTTCAAATACCTGCTGGTAGCGCAGCATCCGCTCCGTACTGTTCTTCTTTGTAGTATCTTTTGCCACAATGCTGTTTACATACTCATCTGCCTGCATCAGTTGCCAGATGATGGTCTGCATTGTTGCTGTGGGGATAATATCTGCAGGAACCCTGCCCCCGCCCCCGCAGGATGCAAGCGAAAAAGCCGCCAGTAATAAAAATAGCAATGGCCTCATCTCAGTTCCTGTTTATAATTATTGGCGTTTGTAATGTCCATCTTTGAAAGTAGATCAAGTGCACGGCTTTTTTCATCTGGCGCAGTCTTCTTAAACACACCAATCATCTCTCTTGCCCGGCCCTGCAGAAAGAACTGCACGCCCATATTGTTAGGATTGTCCGTGTTGATATTGTTCAGGAAATTAAGTGTGTTCATAATAGCCGCCCTTGCCTCGGTTTCATTGTCGTACATATTGTCCATACCCAGGCGGTAATAACTGTAAATGGCATCATGCAATATGGCGTATTTACTGTTGGTAAGATTGTCTGCCAGCCAGTACCGGTTGCGCTGCCCGTCAAAATTGCGCCATCCCACTATATCCCGGCTATCCGGGGCATTGCTTACAATATTCTGGGCTTTCTGGAAATAACTGTCTCCCCCGCGGAGCGAAAAAGAATCGAAATTCAAACCCAATATGATGTCTACATAATAGGCCAGTACGGCAGTCAGATTAGATACCAGCGGGTCTGACCCGGATACCCGGCTTTCATTAAATTCTACAGGTTGAAATTCTACGTAGCGAAAAACTACCGCATCGTCTATAAAGTTCACCAGCGGACTGTCATAAGCGGCATTGTATACCGGCCTTGCTGCCTGTATGGTAAGAGAAGCTTTGTACACATTATCCGTTGAAACTTCCGCTATGTTCAGCAGAAAATTGCAAACTATTTTTTCATTGGGCTGAAATACCTCGCCGGTCCATTTACGGTTGTTTAAAAATGTATTCAGGGCGTTTTGCAGGGTCTGAAAAACTTTCTTGTCTATCTGTGAACCCACGCGGCTGGCATTCACATTAATTTTTGCCTGCAGCTCCTGCGCCTCTGTCTCTGCAGCGCAACAGGAAATCAGTACCAGGAATAAAGTAATCAACCGTTTCATCATGACAGCATTTTTACTATTCTATCAACGATATCTTTCGCCACTTGTTGTTTGCTTTTCTGTTCAAATACCAGTTCATTGCCCCCCTTCTCAAAGATGGTTATTTTGTTGGTATCGTGCCCAAAACCGGCACCTGCATCATTGAGCGAATTGAGCACAATCATATCTGCATTCTTTTTTTGCAGCTTGCCCAGCGCATATTCTCTTTCGTTGGCGGTTTCCAGTGCAAAACCTACCAGCAATTGTCCTGTCTTCTTGCGCTCACCCAGCGACTGCAGGATGTCTGTTGTTTTTACCAGCTCCAGCACCAGTGGACTGCCATTTTTTTTAATTTTCTCCATGGCTACCGAAGCCGGCCTGTAATCTGCCACCGCTGCGCTCATTACAGCCGCGTCTGCGCTGTCAAAAAATCTTACACACTGCTGGTACATTTCATGGGCAGTTTCAACCTTATGAGTATGTATATTGGGGTGATGTGCTGTTAAATGGGTGGGCCCCAGTACCAGGTTCACCACGGCGCCACGGCCTGCCAGCTCTTCTGCAATGGCAATGCCCATTTTACCGGAAGAATGATTGCCTATAAAACGAACGGGGTCAAGCGGCTCATGCGTAGGACCGGCAGATACCAAAACGGTTTTACCCGCCAGATCAGCGGGCAAAAAAAAACGCTCACTTATAAACGATAATATAGCGGAGGGTTCTGCCATACGGCCTTCTCCAAATAAACCGCTGGCTAGTTCACCTTTCTCAACAGGAATTACCGTAATACCATATTGTGCTATAGCAGCCAGGTTGGCTTTGGTAGCGGGGTGTTTCCACATATCATCATCCATAGCGGGTGCTACGGCTACGGGACAGGTGGCAGACAGCCAGGTGGCCAGTAAAAGGTTGTCGCAAAGACCATGTGCCATCTTAGCCAGCGTATTGCAGCTCAGGGGCGCTATCAGCATCAGGTCTGCCCAACGGCCCAGCATTACATGATTCGTCCAGGAACCTGCCTCAGAAAGGTCTGTAACCACGGCATTTTTTGACAGCGTAGACAAGGTAAGCGGTGAAACAAAATCCCTGGCAGCGGCCGTCATTACAACTTTTACTTCTGCGCCTGCTTTTACCAGTTCGCGCACCAGCAATATAGATTTATAAGCGGCAATACTACCCGTAATACCTATCAATATTTTTTTGCCCTGAAACATACTTAAAATTAGGTTTTTTCTGTTTGCAGCGTTAACATGGCCATTGCGTAAAATAAAAAAGCGACATGGCAGCATGGCCTGTCGCTTCTGAATATTTAACAGTAAAGACTAACTGAAAAGATTGTCTTCATTTCTGCGGTGGTAGATTTTGTCTTCCATAAACTCCTGGGTAGCCAGCAAAGCAGGATTGGGCATGCGCTCATACGCTTTGGATATCTCAATCTGCTCTTTGTTTTCATGAATCTCTTCCAGGCTGTCTGTATGGCTGGCAAATTCTTCCAGTTTATTGTGCAGCTCTTCCTTTAATGTAATATTGATCTGATTGGCTCTTTTGGCCACGATGGCAATTGATTCGTACAGGTTACCTGTTTTGGCTTTAATATCTGTAAGATTTTTAGTTTCTACTACGTTGGAAGTACTGGAACTAAGCTGTCTTCTTAATCTGCTCATTTTTCAGGTTTTTTATATTAGTTTGTGATAAGGTAAAATACCTCTCCGCCTCTTTCAATAATTTACTTTCTGGGTACCGGTCAATAAAATCATGGTATTCTGTAATTACCTGCTCAAACCGCTCCTCCTTCTTGTCATCAATACTCAGCGCCGCATATTCATAGTAAGACTTAATAATCTGCAGTTTATACTGGTCGCCTTTGTCTGAGTCCGGAAAATTATTCATCAGGTTGGCAAACGCTATGGCGGCTGCTTTGTACTGACCGAGATTGAGATACAATTCTGCACTTTTCAACTCCTTCAGTTCCATCTTTACACGGCATTTATCAATAATCTCCGAAGCCTCCTTGTTCCTGGCAGACCCGGGATGGGTGTTGATAAAAGTCTGCATAAAGCCCATTGTTTTGGTAGTATTGGTTTGATCCAGTTCTACCTTGGGCGACTGCTTGTAATAGGTGTACGCCCGCATATAGTCCATTTCCTCAGAATGCTTGCTGTTGGGAAACACCTCTACAAAAGATTTAAACAGGTTTTCTGCACTCAGGTAATCGCTTAGATTGTAGGTGCAGTAAGCATACTTATAATAAAGTTCCTCAAACCTGTCTGTTCCTTTATAAATGGGAAAGAGCTCTTCGTACAATTGCTGCGCGAAATTGTATTTTTTCTTTTCATAGTACTGGTCAGCCATCTTCAGTTTGTACTCGTAGTCTTTACTCTTCTGTACTTTGCTGAACCCGGAACATGCCGTAAAGGTGAAACTAATAATAATCAGCGCTGCTATAATCCGCATAAAGGTGTGCAAAGTTAATTGTTTTGGGCAAAAATGAAAGGAAAAAATCATCCTTCCAAAAGCATCTAGTTAATGATAATATAAAAACCCTCCCAAAAGGGAGGGCTTTTACCGTTATTAGCAAAAATTAGTATTATTTCTTCTTTCTCAGGTTCGGGTGAGGAGCAGGTACTGTATTTGGACCTTCCTCGCTTGTACCGTCCTTCAAATCAATGGTATTGTCATCTCCCTCTCCAAGACCGAATTTAAAGATAAAGCGGTCTTCGCTGATGCCTTCTTTTTCAACCAGGTACTTAATTACCGCGTTAACCCTATCCCAGCTTAGCTGCTGCGCCACTTTGCTGCTTTCGCCATAACCGCTAACGGCTACTTTACAGCTTGCATTATTGCGCATTTTTTCTGCAACACTTGCCAATACAGCCTGGGCATCTTTGCTTAATGTTACAGAACGACCTGTAAATGAAACACTTGGCAACTCACCGATACCGCAATTGCCAGCGCCCTTGCCATATTTGCCGCTTTCAAGCGCATCTTTCAACTCTGTGCAACAAGCAGGAGGAGGACATTTACCAACACCATCAGCATCTACTGGCTGACACTGTGTAGGGGTAATCAGTTCTTTATCTTTCAGGTCAGGTACACCATCGCCATCTGTATCTTTGCTAACACCATGAGTATCAACTGGTGCACCAGCGGGGGTGTTAGGTTCGTGGTCAAACTGGTCTGTTACACCATCGCCATCAGCATCATCCAGTACTGGTTTTGGCAGTTTCATGTGACGTGGGGCGTTGATTTCGTTGTAAGCATAATCCAGCGGATTGGCCCACCATAATGGCTCAACAGATTTTTTACCCAGATTATAGTTCAAACCAACAGACACAAAATTGTAAGAATCAAAATCCCTTGTCATAGCCGGCACGTTGGTTCCAACAGTACCTGCACCGCCAGGGAAATAGGTATTTTCCTGCCACTGCTGTCCGTCCAGCAGGTCAGTTTTGATAGAAGTAAACCTTTCTTCAATAGCCAGGTTAAATTTATTAGACAGCTTGAACGCCATTCCTACACCCAGCTGGAAAGAAGGTTTGAAAGATTTTCCGAACAGCTTTGGCTGCAATGGATCCACTTCCGCATGTGTTTCATAAGATTTATCCATACCGGCTTTCAGGATTTTCTTTACATCCTTGCGGTTGGAATAAACGCCGGAAGCAGTACCGTTAAACAATGCGGTGTAAGGTGCGCCGGCGCTGTTTTTAGCATTAATGTACGTGTCGTAGATAGAGCCTCCGATACCACCAAACGCATAAATATTAAACCCTGTTTTCGCCTTGTGGAAGCGGACATTGTTCAATGTTACAACTCCCTGTAAACTAAGGTCTTGTATAGTAGTTTTGTAATTGTAAAATACTTTATCACCTGCTGCAACATTGTAGCCGGCACCTACCCATGAAGGGTTTCTTGAATAGCCTTGGGATGCGCTGAAGTTTAAACCTCTTGCACGGTTCCACGTATACTCAGCACGCAAAGAAAACACATAACCCAGGGCTTTACGGACATGCAAGCCGAAACCGCCTGTAGGAAACACTGAACGCACATCTCCCGCTACACTTGAAATACCGCCCTTTATACCTATTTCCCACTGGTTGCGGGGTTTTGCAGGAAAAGGATAAGCGTTATTCAAAAATTCATTGTGTTGAGGTTGCCTCTTGGCCGGTATCAGAGAAGAATCCTTAACATCATACCCTGTCTGCACCTGCGCAAACGAGGCCGATGCAAAGAGGCATATAATGCCAGATAAAAAAACATTCTTTTTGCTTGCCATAACTGATTTTTATGAAGATTTAATACGAATACGAAATACCATTGCCGTGCAAAAATATCATTTAGTTAAAATATACCAAATTTTTTTCGTAAATGTATTGTGTGCATGTTGTTGCATTTCATAGTTTTGAGACAACCCGGAGCTTAAATATGTTGCACAATCCATATTTAAAACCCGAATATTGTAATTTGCCGGTTCTTTACTTAAAATGAAACTTCCACCACCCGTTATAGCCAAGGAGTTAGAAATCTTTGAAAAAGTCTTCAAAGAATCGGTAAAAAGCCATGTTTCACTGCTGGATACTATTATGCGATATATCGTGAAACGCAAAGGTAAACAGTTGAGGCCCATGTTTGTATTGCTTGCCGCCAAGCTCACGGGCGAAGTAAATGACAAAACCTACCGGGCTGCCTCACTCGTAGAATTACTACATACTGCCACCCTGGTACACGATGATGTAGTGGATGAATCTTACGAACGCAGGGGATTTTTTTCCATCAATGCCCTCTGGAAAAATAAAGTAGCCGTTCTGGTAGGCGATTATTTATTATCAAAAGGCCTCCTGCTTTCCCTGGATAATGATGATTTTGAGGTATTAAAAATTCTTTCACACGCCGTAAAACAGATGAGTGAAGGTGAATTGCTGCAAATTGAAAAAGCCCGTAACCTGAACCTGCAGGAAGATATTTACTTTGAAATCATTAAAAACAAAACCGCGTCACTACTGGCTTCCTCCTGCGCCGCCGGGGCCTATTCCAGCAGCCAGGACCAGCTGGCCGCCGCCAAAATGCGGCAGTTTGGCGAATGGGTGGGCATTGCATTCCAGATAAAAGACGATCTTTTTGACTATGGCAACGAAGACGTGGGCAAACCCACCGGCAATGATATCAGGGAAAAGAAACTGACACTGCCGCTTATTTATACCCTTAACCACTGCACACCTGCCCTGAAAAAAGAGCTTATCTACATCATTAAAAATGAAAACCGCCGGAAAGAGAGGGTAAACCACGTTATTGAAATTGTGAGAAAAAGCGGCGGCATTGCCTACAGCCAGCAGAAGATGGAAGAATACCGCGACAAAGCCCTGGGTTTACTGCATGAATTTTCAGATTCTGAAGTAAGAAAGACACTGGAAGAACTGGTACGTTATACCACCGACAGGAAATACTAACCGCGGCCCGGCAACAACAGAACCTTATCCTTATGCATAAAAGATGGAATATACTGAACGCACCTGAAGAGGCGGTGCAGGAATTGCAGCGTCAGCTGAAAATAAGCCCGGTTGCCTGTAAAATACTTGTACAGCGGGGCATTGACAGTTTTGAAAAGGCAAAAGATTTTTTCAGGCCGCAATTACACCAGTTGCATAACCCCTGGCTGATGAAAGACATGCGCCTGGCCGTTGACCGGATTTTCAGCGCTTTCGAAAAAAAAGAAAAAATACTGGTTTTTGGCGACTACGATGTAGACGGTACCACCTCGGTTGCCTGCATGTACCAGTTCCTGCAAAAGATATACAATCCCGACCTGGTAGAATTCTATATCCCGCACCGCTACCGTGAAGGTTACGGCATTTCTAAAATGGGGATTGATTTTGCAAAGGAAAATGCGTTCACGCTTATAATTTCGCTCGATTGCGGCATAAAATCAGTTGATCTTATCCGCTATGCAAAAGACCTGTCTATTGATTTTATCGTTTGCGACCACCACCTGCCGGAAAAAGAACTGCCGCCCGCCGTTGCTATCCTGAACCCCAAACAGGTGGACTGCCCCTACCCTTACAAAGAACTCTGCGGCTGCGGTGTTGGTTTTAAATTAATTACCGCACTGGCACAGCAACTGCAGCTGCCGGAAGATGACTATTACTGTTATCTTGACCTGGTAGCCACTGCCATTGCTGCTGATATTGTGCCCATGACAGGCGAAAACAGGATATTGGCATTTTACGGCCTGCAAAGAGTTAATGAAAACCCCTGCAACGGCATTAAGGCGCTTATGACACTTAGCGGCATTCAAAAAACAACGCTGCAGATAACCAACCTGGTGTTTGTAATAGCCCCCAGGGTAAACGCCGCCGGCAGAATGGATGATGCCCGGAAAGCTGTGCTGCTGTTTGTGGAAAAGGATTATCAGAAAGCACTTGAATACGCAGAAATGCTGCACAGTGACAACACCGACCGCAAAGAGGCCGATGGCAATATTACCGGCGAGGCACTTGCGCTGATAGATGCAGATGAAGTGCTGGTAAACCGGAAATCAACCGTGCTGTATCAGCCGCACTGGCACAAGGGCGTAGTAGGCATTGTAGCTTCCAGGCTGATAGAAAAATATTACCGGCCTACCGTAGTGCTTACAAAAAGTGGCGACGTGGTAGCCGGCAGCGCCAGGAGTGTACCGGGTTTCAATCTGTACGAAGCCATTTATGCCTGCCGTGAGCACCTGCTGGGCTATGGCGGCCATTTTGCTGCTGCCGGCATGACGCTGCTGCCCGAACAGGTAGCGCCCTTCAGCCAGAAATTTGAGGAAGTAATTACCGCTACCATTACTGACGAGTTATTAACCCCGGAAATTATCATTGATGCGGAAATCCGTTTTAATGCCATCAACCAGACCCTGTATAACATCATTACACAAATGGAACCCTTTGGACCCGATAACCTGCGGCCGGTTTTTGTGGTGCGCAGCGTAATGGACAATGGCTGGTCGAAAATTGTAAAAGAAGAACACGTCAAATTCTCCCTTCAGCAGGACAATATCTTTTTCAGCGGCATTGGATTTGGCATGGCTGATAAATTTGAACTGCTGCAGCTAAAGCAGCCGCTGGACGTGGTATTTACACTGGATGAAAATGAATGGAACGGCAACAAAAGCCTTCAGCTGAAAGTGATTGACTGCAGGCTTTCCGCCGGTTAATTTTTAAAAGTTGGGCACCATGATTGACGGTTGCCGCCACCCTGGCCATAAAAACCCTGGTTCACCACAGCAAATTCTATGGCACCACGTGCACTGTTATAATTGCTGAGCGTAGAAGTAGTAACATCGTAGGTAAACGTCATTTTGAGCATCTTCCACTGAAATCCAATCATAGGAATAAATGCATCCCCGGCGCGGTAGTAAAGGCCTCCGGACAATTGAATCTCCCCATCTCCGCTGAGGTTGTAATTGGCGTTCAGTCCGCCCACCAGTTCACTGGCACCTGCCTGGTTGGTATAATAGGCCATCGGGTTCACAATCACCATATCATTCACCTTAAAGCTGCCGTTTACAAAACCAATATAACGGGGCGCCAGGCGGTTATCGTAGCCGGTGGTATTATCAAAAAAACTTTCTTTGGGTTTATTTAAATGGTGTACAGAAAAGCCGCCGTTGATATATACTTTATCGCTGGGGAAATAAGCATAATTCAGGCCTGCCTGCACATCCAGGTAGTTGATTGAGGTGCTGTTAAACACTGCGGAAGTAGGCACCCCGGCATCAAAAAAGCCGGTGGCTTTATTAAACTGGTCGGGGAACTTCAGTTGTGTAGGGTCTACCCGTTTATTGGCCCAGCCCACATTAAATCCTGCCGTTATCAGGCTTCCCAAGCCCACCTGCTGGTGATAGGCCAGCGAGCCATATACCTTGGTAGACGTGAGATTACCACTGCCTGCCACATCTCTTAGTATAGCACCGCCTACGCCCATCCAGCCATTCTCAAAACGATCACGGAATACCTGTGCATCTCCCCACACACTGATGGTTTTGTAAGGTGCTCCCAATACGTTCACCCACTGGCTGCGGTAATTGGCGCCAATACGGTAATCAGCATCTGGTATAAAACCGGTATTGGCCGGATTGGTGGTAAGGGGGGAATTAAAAAATTGCGAGAAATGAAGATCCTGTGAAAATGAACAAAGATAAAAAAACAAGCTGCCTGCTATAAAAACGCCTTTTTTGTACCAGGCACAGGAACTTCTTGGCGCCTTCGTTGCGTCGCACACTTGTACCGAAGAAACAATTGTCGTCTGCAGGCTGCTGTTCTCACTCATTGCTTATTCTTTAGAGGTCTCAATAATCTAATCATTCAACACCGGCTATCGTACATCCTGTTACCTTAATAACGTAATATCGCCCTTTTTAGTTGTCCGGGTACCATCTGTAAACTCTACTTCCAGGGTATAGGCATAAACATCCATCGGCTGAATCACTCCCTTAAACTTGCCATCCCATCCAATACGCTGGCTGCTGCTCTGGAAAACCAGGTTGCCAAAACGGTTATAGATGCGCCAGTTCATACGTCCAATGGCAAATCCCCTTACATAAATTACACTGTTAGTGCCGGGGGTGAGCGGCGTGAATGCATTGGGCAGATCAAGCCTGGGCGTTACAATCACTACAATACTGTTGATGGCTGTATCCGGGCATCCCGCTGCGTTGTACGCTATCAGCATTGCTTTAAATGTTCCGCTGGTATTGTACTGGTAATCAAAAGGCGCCCTGCTGCTGGTAAGCAGTGAATCTCCATCGCCAAAAAGCCATTTAAACCTTACTGCATCTGATGAAGAAGTATTGGTAAATGTATTGGGTGTATTCTCCTGCGGTGTTACCGGCGAATAGGTAAACGCCGCCGTTGGCTTCACACTCATGGTAATACTCCTGGTGGTCGAATCTACTTTGTTACAGGTAGAAGTATCTGTAGCCACCAGCTTGACGGTGTAAACACCAGGCTGGGTATACAGGTGAGCAACCGTAGCGCCATTATCTGTTACAGGCGGCGTACCATCACCAAAATCCCATACAAAACTGGTGCCCGCCAGCGATGTGTTTTCAAATATGGCGTTATTGGGAATGCATCCCAGCGGGGGTGTTTCAAACTGCGCTTTTACCAGCGGCGACACCCTTAGCAAAAGCGTATCTGCGTCGGGTGAATTACAGTAATTGGTATCTGGTAAAGACAGCACCACCTTATACGTACCCGGTGCCGCATAATTATGGGTAATGGCCGCCGGGCCGGAAGTTACTTTGGGTGTGCCATCGCCAAAGTCCCAGACAAATGAGGTATTGCCAAACGGAATGGCCGTAGGCGAGGTGGTGGAGGTATTGGTAAACTGGTACGATAAAGACTGGCAGGGCTGTAATTTATTGGCAACAAAACTGAGGTAGGCTTCATTGTTTCTTACCCTGATGGTAGTATACACCGTGTCCCGGATATTACAGGTGGTGGAATCAATACCCACCAGCATTACCTTGTAATCTCCTACTGCAGTATAAGTATGCTGAATATCAAAATTGTTTGTTTTTATGGTGGGCGTACCATCGCCAAACGTCCATTCATAGCTGGTGGCATTTCTTACAGTGTCCCTGAAATCAACCGTGAGGGGAACACAGCCGGAGGTATCAAATGAGCCATTTATAAATGCCCTTACACCGGCACCTACGCCGGCAAAGTTGAAGGCTATCTTCACAACGCCCAGGTTACAGCCATTGCCCCTTGTGCCGTTAAACGGGGCCACCACGTTGGGCGTTGTGGGATAAGGCGGACTGGGTCTTCCGTTGGCATTGTCTCCTTCACAGTTGGCACAGATGGCCTGGTATATCACGCCTTGCTTGTCGTACCTGCTGGTACCGCCATCTACGTGTTCTCCAAAACCGCTGGGGCCTGCACCTCCCTGCCCGAAGAAAGTTCCATACAATAGGGCGGACGCATTCTTGCGTATTACGATAAAATAAAAGTCCTTATTGTCGGTAATATTTTTTATTGCACCAGCACTGATGGGCATACCGTTGGTTCCAGCCTGTCCAAATTCATCAGGCCCTGTACCCGGGAAAGGCGATCCGCCCCAACCGGACACATACACATTTTCACAACGGTCTACCAGGAAAGCTACAGGTGAAATATTTGGATTGGGTGATTGGCTGTTGCCGCTGCCAAATACGGTGGAGTATACGTAGTCAGACAGATCCGGTTTCAGCTTTGCAATAAACTGCCTGGAGCCGGCATTGCTGTAGGTGGCATTCACTACCGGCCAGTTGCCTTCAGAAATACCCATCACATAGGGGAAGCCAAACTTGTCGAACTTGATGCCATAAATTGCATCATAACTGGTAGTACCCAGGTAAGTAGTGGAAATGATGCCGCTGCCGTCGCTGGCAATGATTGACACAAAACCATCCGGGGGCGGATCGGCAATGGTAGAATTCAGCGCTGGTTGTTTAACCCCGGTTTTAGAACCCGGAAAATCGGTACTGGTAGTAGTACCCGCCACATACAGATTACCTGAAGCAGGGCTGATGTCCATTACAAAAACGCCATCATCTCCTTTTCCGCCCAGGTAAGAGCTAAAAATAATATTGCTGCAATTGGGGTCGATTTTCAGGATTACACCATCCTGCAGGCCGGCCAGTGTACCCTGAAAGGGGTTCACCATCGGGAAGTTGGTGGATTGTGTCTGCGTAGCTACATAGATATTATTGGCACCGTCCAGGATCACTTCTCCTCTTGAATCGTCTCCATAGAACCGCAGCGTCCTGGTTCTTTTTGCCGGCGTGTTGTTGCCCCGCTGGTCTTCAATATTGGCAGCGTCTACGCCCGATCCGCCAATGCGCAGCGAGCCTATCAGGGCCGTACCTGCTGCATTAAATTTAGCTACAAACAAATCTGCCCCTGTACTGCCACCCGCCACAATAGCCCTGCCTGGAAAATTGGTAGAATAAGTGCGTCCCATCATTACCAGGTTGCCCTGCCCGTCTGCAATCATACTCAGCGGGTAATCATCGGCATTTCCACCCAGGTAAGTACTGTACAACCGGGTAGTACCATCGGTACTGAACCTTGTTAATCCTATATCCCAATGACCGCCGCCGGGCGACTGCTGGTAAGCACCCGATGTTAAAGGGTATCCGTTCTGC